TTACCTGGAATCCACGTACATATTCAGGCGATTTGCAACAAGGCTGGTGCAGGCCTGTGTACTTTGAGATTTGAGACGTATCAAACGCTTCGCTCCAACAGCCTCCCTTCAAACAATTTACTTTGAATTTTGTTCTCCTATTTGGGGTGTCTGTGATAATTTTAGTGCACGATCTATATCTAGTTTCAATAGGTGCAATATAGTTTCAATTTTTGAGCACAAATGATTTTTTCAACGTTGCTGTGTTTTGATACCCATCCAATAATACGACAGGGATGATAAGCAGTTACAAAATAAACAAGGAAAAAGACAGTGAATCAGCGGAGTTTGTTCTCTTGGAAAGCAGAAGTAAACTTTGCAGAATCAACCAAGACGACGCGCAGAGGGATATGACTGATTATGACGTCATATTCAAGCCAAGAATACTGATATTATTCGTCAGTTTTTCACGATTCACGCGGCACGCGTGGCAATCACGATTCATACAATGGTATCACGAGGCACAATAGACCTTTTTCATAATGACTTCAAACGCGGAAAGTCTGATGTTACACGAAGTTTGATTGGCTCGATAGTTTTGTGGAGCCAATCAAATTTCGTGTAACATCAGACTTTCCTCGTTTGACGTCATTATAAGAAAGGTCTATTAAACAATACTCAGGAACAGTGAGTTCTATATAATAATATAAAGCTTATTGCTCAACAACAGCTTATCATGCACGAGTTACTCGCTCCCCATACCCTCCCTCCCCCCCGCACCGCTCCTGCGATGAACTTGAGGGTTTATTTGATCACACTTGAAACAAACGCTGCTTTCAGTGCTTTGACTATATTCTCTGGACTAACTGAGTTAGAGCATTAGAATTAACGTAAGTCGAATAAAAGTAAATCATTCCTACCATAAATAACCATGTTCCTATAAAAATCAGGAACACTTTGGACTGAAACTCAAACAACGTAAGCAACAATTGCAGGTCCGTCGTCTTGCTAAAAAATGTACAAAAATCAGTGTCAAAAATCCGCCAGGATATTATACCAGGATATTATTTATGATGAAAGCGAGTGCCCACGATTTTGAATATCACTCATACTTTGGTAGAAGTTGATTATTTATCAATGGATTATGCATACTGTGCTTTTATATTTTGCACTCACACCAAATTAGGGCCCTTGCTCACTGCTGGCAAAAGGCGAAGACTTCAAAGCTTCAGAAAATGATTGAGATTCAGAAAGAGAAAAAGATTTACAAATGCTCAACAAAAGTATATGTCTTGCACAAAAGATTTGAAGCTTGCACACGGCAAAAACGAATCATGGCGTCTGAATTAATAACCTTGTATACTTAAAGCCTCAAGACTGTCAGATATGTATATGATGAGCTGTCAAAAGATTGCAAAAAAATAAATATATAGAAAAAAGTGCTAACTTTCTATTTTTTTCAATAGTTTCTCTTTGATAGCAATTGTGCACGATTGTGATGAACAAGTGATTAGATTTTTGGGTTGAAACCACCGATTTCTATAGTAATTTATGTTTATATGCTGTAGGAACAATGAGCGTTCAAAAGAAATCAGACGGGCATAAGACAAATATACATACCCTTTTTCTGGCTACGGCCCTTCCTATCTGTGTCGGCCTCAGAGCCGTAGCGAAGCCTACAATTAGGGGAAATAAGTGGGTTGCATATTCATATATTCGTCCTGACCAACTGATTTCTTTTGAAATAATTCATATTGTTTCTACGTCCATAGAGAGGATGGTCAGCTCAAGCATGCAAGAGCAACAGTGGCAAGGAGCATAAATATGAAGTGCGCACTGGAAATTCTCCAGTATCCCTCTGGGCCATGCAGTCCTCCACTGCTTACGCCTACAGATCTTATCCAATAACATCACGTGCACCATCACTGCGTGAAGATGCAATATTAATGTGGTTCACTAAAGACGAACTATAGAAATACAGTAGAGAGGACATTCGGATTATTAAAGAGATTATTTCATTGCTTGTCTATGACCCTGCTTAATAAACTTGAAACGACACATGACATTTCACAAGTTCAGCGTAATAAAGGACGATTGGGTTTGGCTATTCGCGAGGCCTTGATGAGCGCAGCACTTCTCTAAGCTATATATATTAGTATATAGTAATAGGCCAGGTCCACCATATTTAGAACTGAGGTTTCTAACAATGATTTCAAGTGATGTTTCAATACAATTTAAATCATACTGTATAACTATTTTTAAAAACGTGAATTGTAACGTATCCCTGCAGCATACTTACATAAATAATCATATTTTTGTGCCGTATTCCATGCTTTCTGAAAATCATTATAGCAACATCATATAGCATGGATAACTGCATGGTCCTTGTTGGTCATCAGTCTAACTTGGTTCTCATACACTTTCTTAGTGGATTCCAACACTCAACATCAGCGTCAAGCACTCCCTTCTTTCTGTTGTGTCATTTAACTGATATTAACTGATTAACTGATCTCCATGTTGCATTGTTGTTCATGCATGTTCAAACAATGCTCCGCAAACAGCCCGATTTTTGTTCCCACCAGAAATCAGTGCAGCGGATTGTATATACAAGATGTCCAGAAACTAATGTTGTTAATTTGAATGGTCTAACAATATTAGTGCAGTAGTGCTCTATGATATTGTTTTTGATCAAAATTCGATGATGTTGAAACCCTTAATATTTTAACTTTTCACGCCCTATAACGGCTATATCACTATAAGCTGAATGCAAAGACCAATCCATGCAGGGTAAGTCAGAATAAATTACTATTAATTACTAACTCTAGGTTCTCTAACTTGCAATCATATTGGTGGATTTTGATGCAAAAATGTTCTTTAGAAATGAATAACCAATAGCCTATTAAGGTATATAGCTATAGGATTGGAAATAAAGCTTTACCAATGACTATGAACAACAACCATGCATAATAAATGTATAAAGCGCACGAATTAATGCCCAATGGAATTTGAGGTAGGCGATATTTTAATATGCGTAATATTCTAAAATTTATATTGTTCTTAAGCACAATAGGTTTTGTTTTTATTATTTGGATTACACAAAAACTGAAAACCTGACCGAAGTGCAAAACAATATTGGCCGTTGGCTTGAGCCGCTAGAGTACGATTACATGCAAGCTTTCTTCCTGATGCCAAAGCTTGAAGACCTTGAGACAGATCACAGTCACTCTTATATCATAATTCTACTAGATCTGGCCAATAATGGGTATCAGAGAATTTCTAAAAAGACGGCGTGGAAATAAGAAAGAGTTGGAGTCTGTCCTTCCTCCAGATGGTGGCTGGGGCTGGGTGGTTTGCGCTGCCGCATTTTTCATCCAATTTATTGTTCTGGGCACCATGAATAATTTTGGAATATGATTATAAAATCCGTCAGTGTTGTTTGCAAGTTGTAACTTAAACAAGAGTACAGCTAGATAGAATTTTATACACTTACAGTGGCAAGGTAAACTATGTTTTTTAGAGGGGACCAAATTTTCGAAGGGGGGGGCCATTTTTCCTAGGAAATTTGGCCCGGAGGGGGGCAAATTTTCGGGGAAGCCAAATTTCCTGTGACACCGGAACTATTTTGTATTTATTTCGTACTCTTTTTCTGAGCCTGCTACTACAAAATGCAAACAGCTAGATGTTTTGTAATTCTCTCATCGACTCAAAATTTTCAAGTGGGTCAGAGTCAGTGGGTTAAAATCAGTTTAAAGTGGGTGAAAGTCAGTGTGCACATGCAAAGTACATGTATTGATGTACGAGAGTTCGATGTCAAACGCTAGCGAGAGTTTCAACTCTCATCAACTCATTCTCGTTACACCGGGACATAAGTGCAAAAAATGTTGTTGAAAGTTTCACACGCCAGCCCCAGGCGTCTACAAGTGCACATGTTATTGTGCGAACCTTTGAATTATAAAACAGGTGCAAGGCTGACATCGGAAAATAGATACTTTTTGTCATTATCACTTGTGTTTCATGTAATTATGTTATGTGAAATTCAGTAATTCATATAATGACACGCGGAACACAAGGTTCATAGAAGTGTGGGGCAGCTGCTCTTTACATGCACTGCACATGCGTATTGTATCTGCGAAGAGTTGGGTGCTGAGCGGTTTCATGCAGAGCATATACTCTCTTATAGATATATAGATCTTTGCGTCAGGTTCCCGAAATTCTGTAAAGAAAATCTTGAGGTCTATTTCACCAATCCCCAAAGCACCGAAAAAATTCCAAACGAATTCGCCGCTCAAATCATAGTTTCATCGTGTGTTGATAATTTCCGTATTATTTTGCAGTCCTTCTCCTTCGATATTTGATTGAAATAGACGTCCGATGGCCAAATTACATGGATATCTAACCGAGTGATTCACTCACTATATAGATGCATGCATCGTTATGTATGGATCAAACCAGAGCGCCCTGGATCAAACACAGAAGTTTAGACTTGGTTAATAAACTACTGGGCGCAGTGGCCTGCAGATGGAAGCTAATAAAATTCTGTGAGACTGTGAGTAAGTGCGCTATCCATAAGCGGCCAAAATGGTCAAACCGGTCATACTTTAAATTGAAATAGAGTATTTCGTTAAGAATATAGCGACAAAACTATATTTCCAGTGCTAGGCAGATGTAAATAACGATATATATTGAATGCAGAGTTTTTGAAACACTCTAAAATTATACCAGTAATCTGTCTGAACCGAAATACAACAGGACTGGTCTGGCCGTTTTTTCCGTATAAAGGAAAGCGCCCTAAAGGCTAGTTTCCACTCAGGATAATTCTCTTTTGGATCGGACAGGACAGGAAAGATTCCTTTGTATAAACGCCGCCTGAGAACTCACCGACAAAGGAAATTTCCCTGTCCGTTCCGATCCAAAGGAGATTTTTTCTGAGTGGAAACTAGCCTTAAGACGTACTCGCTTTGTTAAAAACAATAATAGTATTCTGGCTATCTTGCCGTGGATATTAGACCCAAAACATTTAGACCTAGTACATTGAGTCTCGTCCATTAACAATAATTTGTTCAACACTGCATGCGGCCCAGACAAAGGCGCGTGGTTAAGTTCTTCTTCAGTATTAATATATGTCGTATATATTTTGACATATTTCAAATAACAGTGTTATAAACCATAACTAGAATATCAGGAAATGTGTTTTGCAATCTCCGGGAGTCATCAATAAAGCTGTTAAAGCACCATTTACACTTTTAAAACCAATTGCAGTACCAATTCCGTTGATCGGTTGGAAGGTTACGAAGTTTGATGGACAATTGCAATGACTCAGCTGATTGAGGTGTGGTTGGATAACTTGAAAAAGGTAAACGTTGGTGTTGCTTATCGGCGGTGGTGTCGGTGGTGGCGATGGTGGCGGCGATGGTAGCGGTGCGGGATGGATTTGCGTATTCTAAGTAAAAAATATTTGAAAATAAGGGCGGGGCGGTAGTGTTTGAATCATGCTAATTATCGGACTGATAAATATCGTGAAATACAAACTGAAATATATATTATATATATAGTGTAGTATATATTATATATATAATACCGGGAGTACTGAGCACTGTTGTTTGATATGCTCCTCATTCATGCATGCAGCCCTAAGGCCGGATATTTTCCACTGTCGCGTTTTTTGTACGTACGTATACGCATGCACGTAAAAGTTTAAAATAATTTAAATTATACCAGTATAAAAATAATAAAATCAACGCTTGAATTGACTCATATATAGGGTTGGATTCTGTTGAAGATTTGCTGTGTTTTTTCTGGCATAAAACTAATTATATACAACAACTTAGAAGGTTTTAAGCTTTTACGTGCTACGTAAATGAAAAAACTGAAAAACGCGATAGTAGGAGGCAGCAACCCTAAGTCTATATACAAACCGACAGAAGTCCATTATTGTCTATCAAAATATACTCTCCCGAGGCGTTGTGTTGTAATGTTACAAATTCTGGATTTAGGGGATGTAACCAGACACTCGGCTGATATTGACGAATTGTAAATTCTATGCCTATATATATAAGAGAAGATTGAAGAAATAAGCCTGCATGTGATATACAATTGTTAAATGTGACACAATATATATATATATATATATATATATATATATATATATATATATATATATATATATATATATATTTATATATAAATAAATAATCTTGTTGAATGTTGTTCGAAAAGAAAAAGAGTGCTCAATACTATAAAATGTTACAGTAGGGCGAATTAAGTAGATGAAATTAAGTCTTAAAATGAATTTATTTAGTTATCGCTACTCATGCAGAGTTTCACGATTATCTCGATCGATAAAGTTCCTACTTCCTAGGAAGCATAAGCATGTCGAAGTATTGACCACTTCAACTCACGAATTCCGTACCGTCTTTTTCAATCTTTAGAACTTTGAGAGTTTCTTTTTCATATTTCTCATTGTTAATAACAATTATGATATTATGAATAATATCAGAATAGAATAATATATTATTGTATTATTGTCATAATAATGGACCGAGTAGACTCGCGTACACGCGCGAGCGCCACGAGATTTCTGGGCAGCCCATGGCACAGATTTAACACCCAGATGTCTCACTTCTGATTAAAAAACCGTAAGCGCTTGCTCAGCACGTGACTAGAGGCATTCACTTCCCTGAAATTTCAAAATGGAGCCGAAACATTTATATTGACAACAAACATAGGGAAATAAACTCCTCTCATTTGTTAGAGAAAGGGACCGTGTGGTTAAACTTGTGTCTGAATCCCTCATCATCTATATAAGCGTATTTGAAAAGTGAGTTAAGAGCACGTCGTTTTCAATATTCGGTACGATTGTTTTGTCTTTTTTTTTTTGTCGTAGGAGCGAAAAATTACGGTATATTTTCAAACATATTTCATGATTTAAAAAGCGTGTGAATCAGTGAATATCTTTAAATTGAATGGGCGCTTCATTTGAACACACCGTGCAGTTTTTCCTGACTTCAAACAGTTCGGCTCCATTTTGCAGTAAGCATTTCGGGGGGGTTAATGCCTCTAGTCACTTGACAAATTTTTAAGAATTATGGAAACAAATAAATAAATATCGCTCTACTAGCTTGCAGCATTGAGCACTCTTTTATTTCATACGAAGAATTCCTTAATAGTTGTTTATATATATATATATATATATATATACACCCGTTTGCAAAAACGTTGGCCGCAGATAGATATATAGATAGATACCCGAAATCTAATTAGAATTGCATATGTTGTGTAATATGATTGAAATCCCATGCAAATGTATTCATTTGCAATTCTAATTAGACTTCGAGTATCTATCTATCTATCTATCTGCGGCCAACGTTTTTGCAAATGGGTGTATATATATATATATATATATATATATATATATATATATATATATATATATATATATATATATTTAACAATTAGTCGCCGAAGGCGAGGTAATTACAAGCCTATATTCACTGAGCCGAAGGCGAAGTGAATATAGGCTTGTAATCACCGAGCCTGAGGCGACTAATCAGTGTTTTAGTATAATTTCAGTATTGAAAAAGTTTTATTTATAAATACAACTGATACACGTGTTTATTTTATGAATATAATTTTGATTTTGAATATTTTCAGCCATGTTTTTTTGGGGAAAAGCAATAGTTACTGCTCAGACTGCTCTGAGCAGTAACTATTGCCTAATAGTTACTGCCGAGGGAGCCAATCAGAATGCTCAAAGGCCATTTTTCAATACTGAAAATATACTAAATATATATAGAGCTATGATTAATTCTGGCTTTTGGAATAAAACCAGTTGACAACACATACTATTATTTGTTGCATTTGTATCGCTGATTAATTGATTTGTTCCGCTAAGGTCATCCACCGTAAGATATTTTCCGTCATAATATACGCTTTTTATTTTGCATGTGCCAGCATCCGGTAAGTATTCTAACTCTCCACTCTTGTGGCGTGGTTCATCCCCTGAAAATTTCAACCTTATTTAGTTATTACTATTAGAGTTATTATTCTTTTGTGCTATTATGTCGCCCGCAAATGATCTTGGCAAATCAATAATATTATACCAAAACTCAGCTTATGGGTGATGCGGTGTTAAATCGTACAGGGGAAAAGCAAACCTTTTAACGCGCGCATGCATGCATGTTTTTTTTACCGTTTTATTAATCAGTGATATAGTTGATTCATATAATAATCAATTTTCGAAAAAAGCATCTGAGTAAGGTATAAGACTACATTGAGAAGATATAGCGAGTTTATATAGTTATACAGGATGTCCGAGACACCTATAAGGTAAACCGACGACATGCATGCAACCAGTGGCGTAACTAGAAGGATAATTTGGGGGGGGGGGTGAATATTCATATATCCATGCAGTTTGCCCTACGGATTTCTTTTGTAATTGCAATAGCTTACAATAAAAATCCGTCGGGCAGAACTGAATATATGCATATATTATACCTCAGATTCAAATTGTCCAATAAAAAAACTGTATTTGTACCACGTGATTAGTAGATTTTTTGTGGAAGCACATAGACTGCGAACTTAAATCCTGGTATTTTTACCCGGGGCATGTAATTTAAAGTCGAATTACCCTCTTTTGCCCGCAAGGGAGGGTGATTCCACTTTAAATCACCCTCGAATTCGTAAACTAGCCTGCCGTTACGGGTGTCAGATTGAAAATATGGCCGACGGCAACAAGACGCCGGACGACTTTTTGTCAACAGCTTTAAATTTTCGGTATAATATATCAGTTATCAACCTTTCACTCGGGTGATTCCACAAGATACCGTTCTTGCTTAATTCTCTGCCGGCATCAAGGATGAGAACCCCTACACGCTGTGACGGTTTCTTACACCACACTTACACAGATGGTAATGAAGCCAGAATAATGTATAAAATCACTCACACGTAAAATCACTCACTCAATCTGCACGCCCTCCTTGCATGGAAATCAGCTTAATATGCTGAAGGAGTTAGCGTGCATGTATAAATAAAGTTTTTAGATCTTCAATCAGTCAATGTGTTCATTAAAATTTAGATCTATTTTTCATTAAAATTTAGATGTATTTTTTGACAAATATTTGCAAAGCCGGACTAAATTGTCAAGCTGACAATCGCCACTATAGCCCTGACCTACTGTGTATATACGATCCATTTTAATGCTATTTGTTCATCCAGTTTTCATTAAAAATAATTAATATATACCTTTATTATTTAGCTCGACATATTTATATCCCACTCCATGAGGTCTTTTGAGTCTCTATAAGTCCAACATATTTTATACATAATAATGTATGTTGATGAGTGCAATGATAAGAAATTTTTATGAGGTAAAAGATGTAATTAATGTTGGCTGAATGAAACAATCTTTCACCGAATGAAAGATATTCTTACTACAGTTGCACGAATGACATGAACAACATTCATTAAAATTTGTGTTTTATAAATGATAATCTCATCAGCTATATATTATTCTGATCAAATGATCAATACTGTCAGTGATTTTGTAAAGCAATCGGCACAGGGGTTGCGTTCACACAATACCGTTATGAAAAAAATGTAAACAGAACGTAACGCTAACCATACGCAGGAGTTTGCCATGCATAAAGGCGATGCCACACAAAACGATTTTCAATCACGATTTTTAGCGCAACGCGCTTCTGCATAAGCCATTTGGTATCTCCTAAATTGCTTTGCGAATTCCGTTAAAAATCGTTCTGCTACCCGCAAAATATCACCGCCCGAAATATTTGCCCGAAAAGGGCCTGCGGAGGAGGTAGGTTCTGCGTGTTATCAGCGTGAAGACCATCGTTAGAAGCTTGAGGGGCAAAGTACAGTGTATATTCGTCATTCTCATCGATGAGAAAGAGTCCGGGTATAAACTTATCTTTTAAATCCGATCAGGGCTTAATTGTTGTGAACACGTCAATGTGGTTATTTAAAGTAATGCAGTCGAAAATGAAGAACACAGAGAATAAATACAAATGTATGTACATCCAGACTGTTTTACATCGTTGAAAATGATTTGTTCACGAGAATTACGACAAAATGGTTGGTTCGAGTTTGCACAGCTTTTACACTAGGTATAGAATAAAACCCGTGATGATTTAGCTTTTACACTATTGGTATGGAATAAAAACTTCTTTTTTCTACCGGGTCTAAAACAGGGTCAAAAAGTGACTTCATCGTGTGTCTTCAAAGCCGTATATAGAGACTAGAGTGAACATTGAACATTGCATTCTAGAAACTAAGAATAAAAACGGCAGAAAGTTCATAAAGGTGCATCCCACAAAAACTTGATCTGAAGTTGACTGACTGTCAACAAATTTATCGTCTAAAACATTTTGTTTATATCAAATAAAGCAACAATTTTCACGAATTCATGTACTTACCATTATCAATTGGCTGATTGGACTAATATTTATTGTGTGACGTAGCTGCTTGTTCACCAAATCTGCTGAAATTATTGGTAGATCATTCACTGAAAAGATGATGTCATTACTCCTATAAAAATGATTTAACAAACTTAATTAAAGGTGATTATTTAAAATTCTGACTCTAATTAGTCAAGCGACCTGGGGTTATCAGTAATTTCAAGGAAAATGATGTACTTAAAAAACACAAAAGAAGCGAAAAAATGTGCCAAAGCTGTATTTCGAGGTAAAATAAATTCATTTAGCATGAAAGAAGTTTTATTTAAAACGCTAAAATATTGTAGAGGTTTTGTTTATGTATACGTTATTTGTAAAAAGATGTATTTTCTCAGTACAACAATGAACAGATTGTTTTTTTAGGAATATCCCCCTCGCCGATAATTAGTAGATAACGTAAGTAATATTCAAGTTTAATTGATATATATATATATATATATATATATATATATATATATATATATATATATATATATATATACACCCGTTTGCAAAAACGTTGGCCGCAGATAGATAGATAGATACTCGAAGTCTAATTAGAATTGCATATGATTACATTTGCATGGGATTTCAATCATATTACACAACATATGCAATTCTAATTAGATTTCGAGTATCTATCTATATATCTATCTGTGGCCAACGTTTTTGCAAACGGGTGTATATATATATAAAATATATAAAAAATATATATATATATATATATATATATATATATATATATATATATATATATATATATATATATATATATATATATATATATATGCAGGACTATCTTAAATACTAAAAAGTAAAACTGCTTTAAACTTTGCATGCATGCGGCTAAGAAAACTGAAGTGTATTGCTAGCGGGTAAATAAATCTCATTTATATATGGCTATATTGCACTGCGAATCCTCTTTTGAATCAGTATATTTGCTAAAACATAGCAAGTACCTCAAGCCAAATCCATGAAAATATGTTCCAAAATGAATGGAATTAACTGTAATTCCTTTTCTTGCTTCCTCCCCGGACTCCTCCGGAAATACAACAATTTCCTTGTCCAGTTCCATGCCCATCTTAGATACAAATTTGGCAGCTTGAGACTCAAAGAATCCTTCATTGCTGTCTGGTTTCTGATTTCTTGATTGATTGCTATTGCCATTATTGTTTCTTCCTTTCTGCAGGAGAAAATGAATGAAAACATTCTTTAAGGGCGAATCATGACATTTTATAGTCACTATATATACTTTGTGTACAGACAAGATATTAAGTTCTGATGCATGAAACCGGCTATTTTTATTTTCCTGATTGCAAAGATCCTACCGCCATAACATATTCTTCATTAAACGTATGCACTCAGAGCCCACGTAGTTATGTCTATACGCAACAAATCTCAATGACACAGAATCAATAAAATGACCATATATACTCAATGTGAAAATCATGCAGTGGCGTAACGGACGTAAGTTAGGGTTAGGACAAGAACTAAGGCCCCCCGACCGTTGGGGGCCCCAGAGGGCCCCCATTGATTGCCGTCTATCGCCACGATTCTTAAAGATAAACGGCGTGTCCGTGTATCGCATGAGAAGTCAGGTTAAAAACGAATTGTTATGCCAAAGATAGGGTATGAGGTTGGTTGCAAAGGAAAATGCAGCAATAATGATGGTAGATTAAATAATAGAGTATCCATGCATCGACCATGACTGAATTATCTATTCTATTATCCATGTTCTATTACTTCTAGAACTAATGAAGTAATACACTAATGTAGATTTACAAGCTTCAGCTCTCAAATTGTTTTTCAAGTGAAAACATGACAAACAGCTAGGGCCCCCACACCAAATATACCTAAGGGGCCCATCTTCGTCCGTTACGCCACTGAAATCATGCTGTTTTGCCTTGCTCTTTCTTTTGAGATAAGTCAATGTATTGATCATTATTTTAGTTTACTTTCCTCTAGAATCTAGATCTATTTTGCCAAACGCCAAAAAAGTTTTCGACGACTTAAAAGTTGCTATGGTATATGCTATACATTTTTATTGCGGCTAGAAGGACGCTCATGAAACGCATTCATGCAGTTATAGGGCACTTCATAAGAATTAAGATAGCTCTATCTATATATTAGTTATGTACGGTTAACAAGCATTATAGGCAGGATGAAATATTATTTATCAGTTATCTATAACATATTTAGTTATGTACCGAACGAGACACAAAATGCAAGTGAAATTTCAGGAAACATATGTATATGTATAGCTACAGTATGTAGCTATGTATATATTTAAAGACACAGCATGCTGCATATACTTACTCTAAACAAACGAAACATTTCCACAAGTTAAAATCCGGCTCTCGTCAAACTTTGCCTCGTCCTTCTCTCCTGAAATCCAAAGACTAATTAAATGATAGTTGAAAAATCCGAACATTTATATAACAGCACAGGAACTTCCTGTCTTGAGTGGAAGTTTAATTATAGATGAAAGACATAAAAACAAAATACCATGTCACATGCAGTGGTGTGAAAATAACGATAAAAGCATGCATTCTATGTTTGCATTGTGAGGGTTTCTGCAGACCCACATAAGAGGACGTTTCGGCTAGGCTATGCATGGTCCTTAATTAACCTTGTTTTTGCATGTTTATATTAATTTTGTATTTACTTCTTCCGTTCTTCGATATAATCTTTTAACCTTTTCAGTGGTGGTTCAAATTAGACTTGGTATTTCTAGGAAATTCTGCCCGATTCGCGATTCATGATTAATAAGACCCATGCATGATTACATAGAAATCTTTATTCACGCACCTGGGATATTATACTTGTGCAAGAAACGTTTGATATAAGGCAAAAGAGCCGAGATGTACGCTCATATAAAATGGGTGACTCAAAACTCATGTGGTGCATGCATAAAATTTCATGGCTGACATCAAAGCAGACCGTGTGACCGGATGTTGTACTGTATCATGTTGATCTGAAACACGCTGAAACACGCAATAATTTCATCAGTGTTGGTCGCTGCATGACCAGCTTGACGTCTAAAGTTCCGTCTAAACAAAACTTAGTATTATATTGTTCACAGTGGCAGCAATTTGTATTGTTTTAGCGAGCAAAGTTTATATTTTATGGACCATCTTGTTTAAATCTTGTTATGTACGTTTAATGCAGTTGATAATTATCTAAGGCGTTGGGTTTTTTTGTGAACTCGAGCTTCCTGTCGCATTAGTGAACTTTTTTTCTTAAAATTGGAATCAAGTGCAACAAAAGAATTCTTTCTACTCTACACTACAGGGTGAATAAAAAACGCAACCACTAAGTATTCGTAAATACTGTGAATGTTCAATCTTTTGTGATAGAATAGAAAGTAAATATGCATGAATAAATATGGTATTAACTATAGGTTGATTACTTACACGTGAATTGAGGAAGATTGCAGAAAACCGAACGATTGGCCATGATATTTGGTCAAGCATATCATCTCCTGAAACCACGTAAACTGCATGAAAGAGGGAAAACGAAGAAATTGTAGTGATTATTGTCAGTCAGTGCATGGTTGTATGTCAACTGGTTTGCAACTGTCGCAAAATAATTTACTTGTTTCAAGATGCTCAAGTACCCATATTTTTGCGCTACTGGAGATCAAGTGAAAGTGACAGAGACAATTAAGTATATATATATTGCTCTTTACACTTTATGTTGTCTTGCTAATAAAATTTATCCTGATAACATCGCATTAGACATTTATTTAAGAATAATAAAAAAGTTAATAATGATTAGTAACGCCATATAGGTGTATCGTAATTTGCATGCGTGAGTCATGACTGTATTTGTATGCAGTGCATGGTGTCAATATTAGGTGGATTGTGAGGTGCATTTTCACTAAACCATATAAATATATCCTTATGTTACTGCATGTACTCTGGTCATTTAATTTAATGGCACTTCTTTATTGAGCAATTTCACGCATAGCTAAAATAGGCTTTGTCAATTAGCTATATTTTATTATTCAGGATTATTTCTTCAAAAATAAATGCTCGGGAATCAGGCATTTCTTACGCTACATCATTTTAAAGCCTATCTGTTGGTTGGAAATCGCATTTTTTAGTTTTGGTAGAAAGTTCTGCAAATGCATTTCGCTCTCCTGGTAAAAATCTATCGTGTATATATAACCACACAATCACAATTATGCTTCTTCTGGTGAAAGGATCTGCCACGTTTTATGGGTATAGCTACGTTGAGACCGCAAATGCAGATTGTGATATTGCTAGGTACCCATTCAAATGATATGTTTCTTAGAACAACACAATCCCATCGGCTATAATCTCAAGCACGCGCCTTACGACGCGTCAAAATTAATTACAATTAAAGTATTTAACGTGAAGTAGCTATACACTGTTTTGCTGCGCTTCCTTCCGTAATGTCTTGATTTGAGTGACTTCTATTTTTATTAGAAACCCAAAAATTAGCTCTTATGAAAAATCTCCACTTATATCACATAATTATTATGCATGCATGCATTGCCATGGAAATTTGAATAAAATGACCAAAAAAAATGAAGCAAAGCCCATGCATGTAATTGGCTCGTGGTATAATTCACATCCAGAGGTTTACTAATACTAATTTCAAATGGCGCCAGCTATTAAACTTAAAGTAATCAAAGTATATATTTGGGGCCGGTGTTCGAAAAGTGGATAAAGGTGGATAAAGTTGGATACTGCATGGAATGTCGTAACTTCCAGTTTTGAGCGGAACAACATACCAAACCAGATGCGGAGGCGTGAAACATTTACCAATATTAAATTTTTAATGATACTTCCGTAGCATGATTATATATAGAAACCTTTTATTTGCATTTTAAGTTGAAGTTTGAATTTAAAAGAAAATTTTGCCCGATTTTCGCGTAAACTATGATCCATTATTGCTCGTACATACATCTGCTATGTAGCACTACACTTTCTGCAAGGGACACTTGATGGACATCTTAGCATATTTTTGAACTGCACGAACTGGTGACGCATTTTAGTGCACGATCTATACCTAATTTCAATACTGATTAAAACGCTTTTCATGCACGATTCACGCGGGTTGGCAAGTCCGTCGTCTTTCCAGAAAATCGGTACAAAATTCAGTGTCAAAAAATTTAAACCGCCGGGATATTAATATTACCAGGTTATTAGTTATGATGCAGGAAAGCAAGCATTTCGGAAAACCAAAATTTGAGGTCATGTATTTTGCAAAAAACAACAAATTATGAAATACTAGTGTAGTAAACATGCATAGAGGTCAAGATTGTCTCACTTAATTAACAGGCGTGTCTAATGTCTATAGTAATATCAATAGAAATTTCATTGCAGACTTTATACAGAATGCGTTTGAGTTCTTCTAGTATTATTATTAATACTTTATAGATCGGTTTATTAGCAAAAATACTGATAAGTCGTATTTTGACATAATTTCAAGTAACAGTGTTAAAATAGCAAGAAATGTGTTTCGAACTGTGTGGAAGGCATCAATGACATCAATGAGGCATCATCGTTAATACCTTCAAAACCATGCAATTGCAGTGATGTTGTTCGGCGGTTAGGACAATGGTTAGAACTGGTGCATGTACAGTATTTGATGGCGAACTGCAGCTGGTGCACTGAATAATAGCAACGTTAAAAAGGTAACTGCTGTTATGGTCGTTTGGTGACTAGTGGTGGGTTATTGTGTGGATGCTAAAAAAATATTTGAAAATTTGTTCTTGAAGCATGTTAATCGAATCATAGTATTATGAAAAGCAGCTAAACTGCCCAATTAGCCTTTCTCGCTTTTTGGGGTACTCTCAATTTTTTCAAACTGGTTTTAAAAGTTATAAAAACATGAAAAGCAATTTTTTTAGAATCAACAGACCATTGGAAGAATAACTCCAGCCTAAATAAAGTCTGTGGCCGTTATGAGGTCTCACGCTTGCGGTTTTGAGGAAAAGTACCCCCAAAATAGCGGCATATTCGTCATCGTGCAAAGGCTAATTAGTTCACGCGGATGGGCTATAGTGCGAGACTGCTATTTACTGTGAAAACTTTCTAAAATGGCAAACAACTTATGTTTTCTTTCAAAATCTTACAAAAAATGGGATAAATTATATAAATTCTGTAATGTGAGTTTGACATGAAAATGAACAAATAAAATACCATGTCACATGCAGAGGTGTGAAAAATGACGATAGAACATGCATTCTATGTTCTATTTATATGTTTGCATTGTGAGGGTTTTTACAGACCCACATAAGAGGACGTTTCCTATAGGTTATGGTCCATAATTAACCTTTTTTCTGCATGTTTATATTTGTATTTACTTATCGATATAATCTTTATAACCTTTTCAGCTGCTGGTGGCATTTCTAGGAAATTCTGTCCAATTCGCAATTTCACAGAAATCTCTATATTCACGCACCTGCTGGGATCGAAACTGGTGCATAAATTTCATGGCTGACGCCAAACCAGACCGTGTGACCGGACGTGGTACTGAAGTATTTTCATCTGAAACACACCCGAATATTTTGAAATAACTTCATGTTGGTCCCTGCATGAACAGCTTGACGTCTAAAGTTCCGTTTAATTTTGACATCGTAAAGCGCATTCTTGAAATTATAGCCGATGGGAATGTGTTATTCTAATAAACATATATTATTTCGCATTTGAATGGGTACCTAGCAATATCATAATCTGCATGTATGGTCTAAAAAATAGCTGCATGTGGCAGATCCTTTCACTAGCAGAAGGAGCGTAATTTTATATCTTCAGCGGCCGACGTATTTCTGTGGTTATAAACGACAGATTTGGCCAGGTGATTTCCAACTAACAGATATGCATTAAAATGATGTAAATGCGTAAAATGCATGATTCCCGAGCATTGATTTTTGAGGAAATAATCCTGAATTTGAACAATAAATAGTTGTACAATATAGCTAGTTGACAAAGGTTATTAATTTTTAGCTATGCGAGAAGTGCCAGTAAATTAAATGACCAGAACACAGTAACATAAGGATACTGGAATACTTTTGTAGCACTTCTTTCTTCCGTCAATTTTGAGATTTCAATTTTAAGGAAAAAGTTCACTAATGTGACAGGAAACTCAAGTTCACGGAAAGACCCAACGCCTTAGATAATTATCAATTGATTCAAACATACACAACAAGATTTAAACAAGGTGGTCCATAAAATATAAACTTGGCTCGCTAAAACGATACAAATTGGTGTCACTATGAACAATATAATACTAAGTTTTGTTTAGTGACAATTAAAGCACTTAACGTGAAGTAGCTACACTGTTTTGCTGCACTTCCTGTCGTAATGTCTGATTTGAGTGAATTCTATTTTTATTAGAAACCCAGAGATTGCACGTGGGCACTATAAGACCGGACAAAAATTAGCTCTTATGAAACTGAATCTCCACCTATATCACATATTATATGCATGCATGCATTGCTATGACAACTTGAATAAAATGACTAAAAAAAAAATAAAGCAAACTTCAAATATATAGTTGATATAAGTGTTAGCATGCCTGTGCATGCACCTTTTCCCTTTTAGCTTTGAGTTGTGATTTCGCCATGTTTAGGAACGATTTTGTTTAACAAAAACGCAAAAAGAATCGGCAAGGTTTTCGGCTTACAAACAAAATCGCTTCTTTATAATCAACTACCGTCACGCATTGCGCATTTGAAAGCTAAAAGGGGAAAGGTCTAGCTATTGGCTCGTTGTAATTCACCACCTGCAGTTTATTAATATACTAATGTCGAATGGCGCCAGCTATTAAACGGAAAGTAATCAAAGTATATATCTGGGGCCGGTGTTCGAAAGGTGGATAAGGTTGATACAGTATCGAGAAATACTGCATGGATAGTGATTTTTTTCATAAGCGCCGTAACTTCCAGTTTTGAGCGGAACAACATACCAAACCAGATGCGGAGGCGTGAAACATTTATACCAATATTAGGTCCGCAGTTATTTTTACTTTATATCAACAAGCTTCCCGATTGCCTTCAGAAAACTACTCCTTGCCCTATGCTGATGATACCCAAATTTGTTGTAGCTCTAATAGTTTGCCTGAATTAACCGTTAAAACCTTAATCACGATTTGAATAGAATCAGTGAATGGCTTTCTACAAATAAATTACAACCATTAAGTTTAATTACCATTCAACTAAGACCAAAATAATGTTTATTCGCTCTAAACATCGTATCAGTTCAATTACTTCTGATCATCCACTAATATTAAATAAGCAACGGATTTCTAGACGGTTGACTCTTTTACATGTTTTGGGCTCGAATTGGACAAAAATCTTACCTGGAATCCACGTACATATTCCTCCGATTTGCAAAATTTAAAGGCTGGTGCAGGCCTGTGTACTTTGAGATTTGAGAAGTATCAAACACTTCGCTCCAACAGCCTTCGTTCAAACAATTTACCGGGCTCTGATTCAGCCGTACTTTGACTATTGTTCTCCTATTTGGGGTGTCTGTGATAATTTTAGTGCACGATCTATATCTAGTTTCAATAGGTGCAATATAGTTTCAATTTTTGTGCACAAATTATTTTTTCAACGTTGCTGTGTTTTGATACCCATCCAATAAAACGACAGGGATGATAAGCAGTTACAAAATAAACAAGGAAAAAGACAGTGAATCAGCGGAGTTTGTTCTCTTGGAAATCAGAAGTAAACTTTGCAGAATCAACCAAGACGACGCGCAGAGGGATATGACTGATTATGACGTCATATTCAAGCCAAAAATACTGATATTATTCGTCAGCTTTTCACGATTCACGCGGCACGCGTGGCAATCACGATTCATACAATGGTATCACGAGGCACAATTACTCAGGAAAGTGAGCTCTATATAATAATATAAAGCTTATTGCTTGACAACAGCTTATCATGCACGAGTTGCTCGCTCCCCATACCCCCCCCCCCGCACCGCTACTGCGATGAACTTGAGGGTTTATTTGATAAAATCTTGAAACAAACGCTGCTTTGACTATATTCTCTGGACTAACTGAGTCAGAGCATTAAAATTAACGTAAGTCAAATAAAAGTAAATCATTCCTACCATAGATAACCATGTTCCTAAAAATCAGGAACACTTTCGACTGAAACTCAAACAACGTAAGCAACTATAGCAGGTCCGTCATCCTGCTAGAAAATGTACAAAAATCAGTGTCAAAAATCCGCCAGGATATTATACCAGGATATTATTTATGATGAAAGCGAGTGCCGACGATTTTGAATATCACTCATACTTTGGTAGAAGTTGATTATTTATCATTGGATTATGGATACTGTGCTTTTATATTTTGCACTCACCCCAAATTAGTGCCCCTGCTCACTGCTGGCAAAAGGCGAAGACTTCAAGGCTTCAGAAAATGATTGGGATTCAGAAAGAGAAAAAGATTTACAAATGCTCAACAAAAATATGTTTTGCTCAAAAGACTTGAAGCTTGCACATGGCAAACTGAACGAATCATGGCATCTGAATTAATAACCTTGTATACTTAAAGCCTCAAGACTGTCAGATATGTATATGATGGGCTGTCAAAAGATTGCAAATAATAAAGATAGAGAAAAAACTTTTTAAAGTGTTTCTATTTATTTCAATAGTTTCTCTTTGATAGCAATTGTGCACAATTGTGAACAAATGATTAGATTTTTGGGTTGAAACCACCGATTTCTATAGTAATTTATGTTTATATGCTGTAGGAACAATGAGCGTTCAAAACTGAGAAATCAGACGGGCATAAGACAAATATACATACCCCCTATCTGGCTACGGCCCTTCCTATCTGTTTCGGCCTCAGAGCCGTAGCGAAGCCTACAATTAGGGGAAATATGTGGGTTGCATATTCATATATTCGTCCTGACCAACTGATTTCTTTTGAAATAATTTATATTGTTTCTACGTTCATAGAGAGGATGGTCAGCTCAAACATGCAAGAGCAACAGTGGCAAGGAGCATAAATATGAAGTGGGCACTGGAAATTTCCCAGTATCCCTCTGGGCCATGCAGTCCTCCACTGCTTACGCCTACAGATCTTGTCCAATAACATCACGTGCACCATCACTGCGTGAAGATACAATATTAATGTGGTTCACAAAATATGAACTATAGAAATACGGTAGAGAGGACATTCGGATTATTAAAGAGATTATTTCATTGCTTGTCTATGACCCTGTTTACAAAACTTGAAACGACACATGACATTTCACAAGTTCAGCGTAATAAAGGACGATTGGGTTTGGCTATTCGCGACGCCTTGATGACCGCAGCACTTCACTAAGCTATAAATATTAGTATAGTAATGGACCAGGTCCACCATATTTAGAACTGAGGCTTCTAACAATGATTTCAAGTAATGTTTCAATACAATTTAAATCATACTGTATAACTATTTTTAAAAACGTGAATTGTAACGTATCCCTGCAGCATACTTACATAAATAATCATATTTTTGTGCCGTATTGCATGCTTTCTGAAAATCATTATAGCAACATCATATAGCACGGATAACTGCATGGTCTTTGTTGGTCATCAGTCTAACTTGGTTCTCATACACTTCCTTAGTGGATTCCAACACTCAACATCAGCGTCAAGCACTCCCTTCTTTCTTTTGTGTCATTTAACTGATGCTAACTGATTAACTGACCTCCATGTTGCATTGTTGTTCATGCATGTTCAAACAATGCTCCGCAAACAACCCGATTTTTGTTCCCACTAGAAATCAGGGCAGCGGCTTGTATACAAGATATCCAAAAACTAATGTTGTTAATTTAAATGGTCTAACAATATTAGTGCAGTAGTGCTCTATGATAGTGTTTTTGATCAATATTCGACGATGTTGAAACACTTAATATTTTAACTTTTCACGCCCTATAACGGCTATATCACTATAAGCTGAATGCAAAGACCAATCCATGCCATGCAGGGTAAGTCAGAATAAATTACTATTAATTACTATTACTACAGGCTCTCTAACTTGCAATCATATTGGTAGATTTTGATGCAAAAATATTCTTTAGAAATGAATAACCAATAGCTTATTAAGGTATATAGCTATAGGATTGGAAATAAAGCTTTACCAAAGACTACGAACAACAACCATGCATAATAAATGTATGTATAATGCACACGAGTTAATGCCCAATGGAATTTGAGGTAGGCGATATTAATGCGTACTAATATTCTAAAATTTATATTGTTCTTAGTATAGGTAATAGTATGGTTTCGAGTGCAATTTGGAAAAAACATGCACGAGTGAGTTTTTCAAAGACTCAAAATAGCACGAGTCCGAAGGACGAGTGCTATTTTGGGTCTTTGAAAAACTCACGAGTGTATGCTTTTTTCCAAATTGCACGAGAAACCATACTATTACTTGTTAATAATGTACATGAAAATGTTCGAGACAAACACACTTACGGAGTTACGAGTATTTCTTGTATTTCTTGTCTCCATGTACATTTTGTTGATCGATTTTTCCTTTATATTGAATATTTCCTTTAGCGACGTTATATTTCTTAAATATTTTGTTGTGAAACCATTGTTTTAACGTTAAAAAATCGCGAAAATCCAAATTTCCGTGCTTGATTTCCGTCGCCATCTTGGTTTGTTTTGTTTGGGGCAAGCATTATATTTTTCCCGCCAAAACGTAGCTCAAATTTGATTAACTGATATATTTATGACAGCCAATCAGATTGGTCTGTTACAAATTTTTGCACTGTTGTTACAGGTTTTTGCACTGTTGTTACAGATTTTTGCACTGTTGTTACAGATTTTTGCACTGCTGTTCGGGATTAATTGCACTGAAATCGACCAATCACAGTCGAGAAACATTTTCATGTATATTATTAAGCACAATAGATTTTGTTTTTTTTGTTTAGATTACACAAAAACTGAAAACCCGACCGAAGTGCAAAACAATATTGGCCGTTGGCTTGAGCCGCTAGAGTACGATTACATGCAAGCTTTCTTTCCGATGCCAAAGCTTGAAGACGCTGCTTTGTGACATACTGTACGTTGTCTTTCTCAGCTGAGACAGATCACACTCTTGACGCCTTCTCACACCACTGAATCACACTTCACTTGCACTACTTCAATAAACTTACATGAAGGTACATCTCATTCCCGTTTATATAACTGGAGCGCTAGTTTTTTAATTACAGGCGTTAGTTCTGCCATCATGCAAAAATTATTCACTTACAATTTCCTAAGAAATAAATAATTTTATCAATAACCTAGTTTCCAAAGCGAATAACTGTAAATCGTCAGGAATTCGATTTTTGTTATATATGGATCAAACACAGAAGTTTAGACTTGGTTAATAAACTACTGGGCGCAGTGGCCTGCAGGTGGAAGCTAATAAAATTCTGTGAGACTGTGAGTAAGTGCGCTATTCAAACCGGTCATATTTTAAATTGAAATAGAGTATTTCGTTAAGAATATAGCGACAAAACTATATTTCCAGTGATAGGCAGATGTAAATAACGATATACTTGAATGCAGAGTTTTTGAAACACTCTAAAATACCAGTAATCTGTCTGAACCGAAATACAACAGGACTGGTCTGACCGTTTTTTCCGTATAAAGGAAAGCGCCCTAAAGGCTAGTTTCTACTCAGGAAAATTCTTCTTTGGATCGGACAGGACAGGAAAGCTCCTTTGTATAAACGCCGCCTGAGAACTCACCGACAAAGGAAATTTCCCTGTCCGTTCCGATCCAAAGGAGATTTTTTCTGAGTGGAAACTAGCCTTAAGACGTACTCGCTTTGTTAAAAACAATAATAGTATTCTGGCTATCTTGCCGTGGATATTGGACCCAAAACATTTAGACCTAGTACATTGAGTCTCGTCCATTAACAATAATTTGTTCAACACTGCATGCGGCCCAGGCAAAGGCGCGTGGTTAAGTTCTTCTTCAGTATTAATATATATGTCGTATATATTTTGACACATTTCAAATAACAGTGTTATAAACCATAACTAGAATATCAGGAAATGTGTTTTGCAATCTCCGGGAGTCATCAATAAAGCTGTTAAAGCACCATTTACACTTTTAAAACCAATTGCACTTGCAGTTGTACCAATTCTGCGGATCGGTTGGAAGGTTACGAAGTTTGATGGACAATTGCAATGACTCAGCTGATTGGTGTCTGGTTGGATAACTTGAAAAAGGTAAACGTTGGTGTCGCGTATCGGCGGTGGTGTCGGTGGTGGCGATGGTGGCGGTGATGGCGGTGCGGGATGGATTTGCGTATTCTAAGTAAAAAATATTTGAAAATAAGGGCGGGGCGGTAGTGTTTGAGTCATGTTAATTATCGGACTGATAAATATCGTGAAATACAAACTGAAATAAATAATATATATATATATAGTATAGTATATATTATATATACATTTATAGTACTGCGATAACAATGTTGTTTTATATGCTCCTCATGTATGCAGCCCTAAGGGATGTTTTCCATGGACGTTTTATTGTATGAACGTAAACGCACGTAAAAGTTTAAAATAATTTAAATGATATACTCAGTATAAAATAAAGTTATGATTGAATTGACTCATAGGGTTGGATTCTGTTGAAGATTTGCTGTGTTTTTTCTAGCATAAAATTAATTATACAACAACTTAGAAGGTTTAAAGCTTTTACGTGCGTGCATACATAAAAATTATAGCTACGTACGTGAAAAAAAAACTCGATAGTGGGAGGCTGCAACCTTATAAGTCTATATACAAACCGACAAAGAAAGTCCATTATTGTCTGCCAAAATATACTCTCCCGAGGCGTTGTGTTTTAATGTTACGATTTCAGGATTTTGTGATGAGACACTCGGCTGATATTGACGAATTGTAAATTCTATTCCTATATATAAGAGATTGAAGAAATGAAGAAATTTATATGTATATATATATATATATAGATATATATATATATATATATATATATATATATATATATATATATATATATACACCCGTTTGCAAAAACGTTGGCCGCAGATAGATATATAGATAGATACCCGAAATCTAATTAGAATTGCATATGTTGTGTAATATTATAGAAATTCCATGCAAATGCATTCATATGCAATTCTAATTAGACTTCGAGTATCTATCTATCTATCTGCGGCCAACGTTTTTGCAAATGGGTGTATAATATATATATAATATATAATATAATATATATATTTATATATATATATATATATATATATATATATATATAATCTTGGATTTGTGCGTAGTAAAACCAAAGTGCTCAATACAAGTAAATAGTAGAGCAAAAACACAAACAAATCAACAAAATATAATCATAAAATTGTATTTCATCGCTACACTGTGTTTCACGTACTAGTTTTAGCTAGTACGATCCTCAGGCGATCGTACTAAAACTAGTACGTGAAACACAGTGTAGCAAGGAAATACAATTTTATGATTATATTTTGTTGATTTGTTTATATATATATATATATATATATATATATATATATATATATATATATATATATATATATATATATATTTGTACGTTTTTGCTCTCAATTGAGCCATGTGTTCACTTGTGGATATTTATGTAAGGTTGGTCATACTTGTGCAGAAGAACAAATACACCTTATATATATATATATAACGTTTAAGAAAGCTATTTACACATAAAAACTACAAATTTGTTTCGAAACCACTCCAAAGTGAGTGCTCTCTCATCAGGTCTAAAGTGTGCCAGCTAACTTCGGAGAATGCTTAACAACAAATGTAATTTACCAAGCAACAGTGGAGACGGACACAGGAAAAGAAACATACATTGGATTAACGCAGAACAAGTTTAAAACCAGATACGCCAACCACTTAGCATCGTTTAGGGACAAAAACAAAATGAATGCGACGCAACTGAGCAAACACATTTGGGAACAAAAGGACAAGGGCGTCAGCTATAAGTTGTCATGGAAAATTATCGCCAGAGCACAACCGCATACAAATGTAAGCAAGCGATGTAATTTATGCATCACTGAGAAATTTTTTATAATTTGCAAACCCCGTATGGGTACATTAAACAGTAGAAATGAACTTGCTAACAAATGCCGTCACGGAGGAAAGCTTTTGTTAAAGAACGTGTAGCAAACGAGTATATATAAGACCGAAGTTAGCTGGCACACTTTAGACCTGAAGAGAGAGCACTTTGGAGTGGTTTCGAAACAAATTTGTAGTTTTTATGTATAAATAGCCTTCTTAAACGTTGTATATAGCTCCTTTTGTTGAGCACTTTGATATATGATATTATATATATATATATATATATATATATATATATATATATATATATATATATATATATATATACATATTATACAAATATATAAATATCAATCACGTGACCATTAAACATGGGTTATTTTGTTCACTTACCTCTTGTTTCCTTATTATTATCAATATTGTTCGCCTTTGCATGACATTTGAGAAATTTTCAAGATAGATTTCCAACAATTTCCCATAAAATTAACGTATGTGGTACAATCACATGATCGATATATATATATTTCCAGGTGACAAACGTAATGATAACGACTTTAATATATATATATATATATATGCATGATTAATTCTGGCTTTCGGAATAAAACCAGTTGACAACACATACTATCTGTTGTTAAAACAATCGAATTGATTTGATTTGATCCGCTAGGCTCCACCGTAAGAAATTCCCCATAATGTACGCTTTTTATTTTGCGTTTGGCATCATCCAAGTATTTTAACTCTCCGGGCCTCTGGTGGCGTGGTTCCCCTGAAAATTTCAACCTTATTTAGTCATTACTATTATATAGTTTAGAAATCAAACATATTATACCCAAATTCAGTTTATGGGTGATGCGGACTTAAATCGTATAAGGGAAAAGCATGCAAACCTTTAACGCGCGCATGATTTTTTTACTTTTATTAATCAGTGATTTAGTTGATTCATATAATAATCAATTTTCGAAAAAATCATCTGAGTAAGGTATAAGACTACATTGAAGCCGGATATAGCGAGTTTATATAAGTATACAGGATGTCCAAGGTCGACACCTAAGGTAAACCGACGACATGCATGGAAGACGCTTTGCAGGCATGCAGGGCCATAGCTAGACCGCTTAATTGGAGGAGGTGGGATATATTATTATTTCTATACTCATGTTTATACGTATATCGTAGGAACAATAGCGTACAAAAAAATCAGTCGGGCATTAAACGAATGTATGAATATACATCCCCCCTGAATAAGCTTCAAGCTACGGCCCTCTTTGCAAAAATTATATACTATTTATTATAAGCACGATGAAGTTACTGAATTCTGATTGGTCGCGAGGAGAACAGTTATTTCATTAAATAAATATCTTCTGTAACTTATAATACTGCAACTTCAGAGGAGTGCGATTTGAGCATTAATGGCACCATTTGCGTGTTGTTTTTTTTGTTTTCTTGCTTATCCAATAAAAATTACCCTATATGTATAATCGTGGTTAAGCAGCTTACCGTTCTTGCTTAATTCTCTGCCGGCATCAAGGATGAGAACCCCTACACGCTGTGACAGTTTCTTACACCACACTTACACAGATGCATGGTAGTGAAGCCAGAATAATGTATAAAATCACTCACTCGCCCTCCTTGCATGGAAATCAGCTTAATATGCTGAAGGAATTAGCGCGCATGTCTAAATAAAGTTTTTTCTTGTCTTATCTTAGATCGTCAATCAGTCAATGTGTTCATTAAGATTAGCTGTTCGCCCGTGATCATCACTCATAAAATATTTGCAAAGCCGGACTGAATTGTCAAGCTGACAACCGCCACTATAGCCCTGACCCACCG